TTTAACCTTTGAAATCCCGGAGCCACCCGGGATAAAATGGGGGGGGTCTTTTTGCTTGGCCCCGGGGGGCAAACCCCCTTTTCCCCAAAGGGGGGTTTTTTAAAATTTTCCAAAAGGATTTTCCCCCCCCCCCCCCCCCCCCCCCCCCCAGATAACATAACAGAGCGGCAGTTGGGGCATACTGTATCCGCCGCAAGAAAGCACAACCGGAAAGTTATTCTGAAACCTATGTATGCGTACAGGCGACCGAAGCGAAAAAAGAGAAACAAGATGCAGAACTATGCAGGAGAACCTAAAGTACCCCACCCCCCACCCCTGCCCGCCCAACCAAGCCTACCTGACGGGCTTGGACCTACCCCAGGAGGAGCTTGACTCGAGCATCATCGGGGCCATCGGAGACATGGACGGGCCCATGCCTGCGGACTCTAAGGGGTGGATTAGCCTTAGAAGGCACCTCATGGGGCATACCGACGAAGCGAGGCAGCGCTTCCGTAACGAGGTGAGACGAAGAGAGAAGAGAGAGAGAGAGAGGGCTTGTAAATGTCTTTCCGACGTATCTGTCTTTCCGTCGGAACGAGGTGATTGCGACGTGGTAATATGTCTTTACGGATACACAGCAGTAGGTGTCTTGTTTTGGAGGTGCTGGTTGGGGTGTCGCCAAGGGGCTTGAAATGGAGCAAAATGTGCCGTGAGGGTTCATGCCTTGTCCTCCTCGTGGAAGATTATCCGCCATACGCTACTGTTAACCATTTCGAGAAGTTTTTACAGCAGTGCAAGCTGTCGACTAATCATCAGTCGTAGACTGTGCATACGTCAATGATAGACTGGAAGATATCCGCCATGGACTGTACTGCTGTTGATTATAGGTGCATGCATGGATTGTCTTCCCTTCCCTCTAAGATCGTTTTCGTGGTCCCGAACTTGGAACAGATATTCCAATTTTGGGACAGCAATGTACTGGTTTTGTTTCGGGACGATAATGTTGGCAATGGTTGCGGCCAATGAGCTCGCACTTACCGCGGTCGGGATACGCGGGATTCTCGATCTATTTCCTGTAACGGGGTTTGCAATTCTCAACAAGCCAAATTTTTTACATGTATGTTCAGTGTCAGACCTCCTGCCCGAAGAAGGTGTTTTTAATATCGTCGTCATATGAGACGGTTGTCTCCAGGTTCGCGTGTGAGCAAGTTCCCTTTGGGATGTGTGGTGTGGATACACACCGGTTAAACCTCTGGTGGAGAGGCTGACGAGTACGGATAGTTGTGTTGTGAGTCAAGGGGGGAGCAACCTTGAGTTGAAGCAAGGTTCAGCATCCATCCGACACTGACTCTATCTGTGGCAACACCCCGAAGGTAGATCTCCGACAGGTCATCTGACGTCAAAGTCTACTACAGTCTGAGGTGGCATTCACAGCAGTCAGCCATTTTTTCATTTTTTCACGGTGGGCCGGTGTCGACGCCAACATAGAATGCAACGTTTCTACCCTTGGCGCAGGGATCTATTTCATAAACTATGGGAAAAAATCGTCATTCGGGTTATTTACTCGAATCCGGTTCCGTAACTCTTGACTTGGTACACTGTAGCATGGGACGTTTCCGTTGTCGGTACAGTAGAACGCGCACGATCAGATCTCCTGGGACATGATTTTACCGGTGTACATTCCGGTTATGGCACTGCCCTGATGTTTTTTTCCATGTTTCGCACCGCTGTTCCGCCGCCATCGTGCCTCTACCCCGGGTCAGGTGCTGGACACGAAGCTGGACGACTTTGTCGAGTTCGGCAAGAGGCTTGAGGGGGTGAGTGTCCCAACACCTCAGGAGAGAGATAGGATGCGCGCTGTCTCCCAACACGCTAATCGTTGCTGGGGAACGCCGCAGCACAGGTGGTATAACAGGGCGAAAAGTTGTTGCTGTTGCTGCTGCTGCTGCTGCTGCTGCTGCTGCTGCTGTTCCGGCTGTCCAGACCGGGTTGGAAGAAGTCGTCGTGATCTTTGCGCAGTACAACCTCATGCCCGTTCCCCGGCCGCACGTTCCTCTTCCCAGCTTGGCCGCTTTTCTGATGCCGCCCCCCAACTCCCCATCCTGTTGTTGTTGACGTACGATGTGATTTGTGACTCCAACGCCTTACTAATAGCTAAAGTCGACGGCAAGCATTGCGGTGGTGGGGTCTAAGGCGGCCTTCGAGACGTTCAACGAGGCAGCAAGCGACGACGGCAAGATCGAGGTCATCGACCCCTTTGCGCAGGAGTAGTCAAATGCGGCGGAATATAGAGAAAAGAACAAATTGACTTGACCAGTGCGCGGATTCTCGGTGTCCGCGGATGAACAACAAAAATATTGTGCACTAGGTTTTTTGTTTGTCGTTGGTCAGGTGAGGTTTCCAGGCACCAAGCTTGGCATTGGGATGAGGTTTGGGGGATAAAATAGAGTGTACCGTAGTGAGGACTGTCCGCGTACCCCCCCCTAAGACCGTTTGGGAGTTACAAACGCAGCGGCAGGCGTCCTCAACCCAGGTCGTCGACCGTTTCGCAACGAGCTTCTTTTCCCGGGGACTGGTGGGAGCGTGGAGAGAGATTTGGTGGGCGTTTACCCTGGGAGTTTGTGCGTTGCTTTGCTGTGTGTTCTGACACGAATTTTTGGTGTGTGTTTGGCGGCGGTACAGAAGCGCCGTGTCAGATGGATTCGTTGGTTCATGTAGAAGGGGAACTGCTGAAACGTCGCAGCGTGCTTGTTTTGGCGCTAATCCAACCGAAACCGAGGATTCGAGGTACCACACGTACCTGGTGACGTACCTGGTGCGTGAAAACATGACGAATGTACACGGAACGACCCAGGTGATATTTTTTCTTGTTGTGCGAAAGTGTATGGCGCACAAGATTTTTGCAGAGAGAAGTGAGGCATTTCACCTTTGATAAAATTCTTTGAATCTCGCACGGACGAACTTAGACTTTTTGTTTCCAAAGAGAGAGACGGATGCGTTTCTTGTTCACCCAGAGGCAGATGCGTTTTTTGTTACCGGTGACCCGTGTTTCTGTGCGAAGGGCGTCACATGTATGGTGTGAAGGAGCGTGAATTAATGGAGACAAGCACCTTTTGGCGTGTGGAAAAAGATGAAAGTGGTTTGTGGGGTTTTGGTGCAGCGACGCTGTCGTGCGGATGGATGGTTTCGGCGATGCCAAAAGAACAAGCATGCTTAATGCTTGAGGCATGCCGTGTGAAGCGACGTACAGCAAGTAACGTTCATCGCTGGCTATAGCACCGCAGGTGGCCCCAAAACGAATGCTTGCATAGCTCGCTTGCAGCGGCGTTGTTGCGGACGATACACGTAATGCGTACGCCTGTTTCCCTCCAGTTTCCCTCCAACCGCCATAAAACGATCTACACACGCATGAGTCATACAATAAAGTGCGGACTCAGCCTCAAAATCGCTCAAAAATCCACGGTAAAAGTCAGTTTTGCCAAAACCTAAGGCAATCGGTCAACTTGCAAAGGCACCATACGATTGAAGCCAGCCGAAAGCTTTTAGACGTGTAGGTTCAGAAACAGACGGAAAACACCACACCATTATTCCCTCGCTTATTTCCTTCCCTCTTCTGCACCACGGACTGACACCAGGTAGGGGATGAAAACCACCTCCTCCCCCCCCCTCAACACGCCAAGCACTCCCCCTCCACAAACAATATCGGCACAGGATTCACTTTCAGGCGACCCTCCCTTTAAACCTAAATGCCCCGCCAAATCTTCAAGTCAAGACAACCCCCTTCCATTCCCCTCCCCTCCCCTAGCGGGATCACCTACGAACGCTTGTAAACAAATTTCGATCAAGCAGACACAGCGGTAGCGGTCAACGCTCTCCAAGATGTCACATGCCAAAGCAAGAAGAAAGCGACAACCCGCTCGCCGCCCGCTGTCCCTTACCCTCTCCACGCATCACCTTCTAGGCTACGACAGCGGTACTGTACTGCTGTTCAATCGACCAGACACACCACATGAGCACAACTTCCACGCATCATATGCACACCCTAGCTCCAACACAACCAACTGGGCAACACAGGAGCAGAACTGTTGGCGTTGGACGGGAAAAAACAGCTTCGATCCCCCCCTCTCCGCCCCCTGAAACTTAAAATACTACATTAGGCAAAAACATTGAGATTAGGGTCCTTGTTCGGGTGGATTCTGCGGCGCACCCTCGTCCTCGTCGTCCTTAACCTTGATCACGGGAAGCTTCTTCCACGGCCGCTCAGGTTTTCCATCGACCACGGAGGCGTATCTCGCGGCAGCGAATAGGAGGTCGCTGAGCCGGTTGATATACCTGCCAAGGCGTGGAGCACACGCATAGTTGCATGGACAGGGAGGACAGGAGGGGGGGTTGGGGGGCTTATTTTGGGTGAACGGGGCGGGGGAAACGAACGTATGCATATATCTGTAAAACCCTAAGTCATCGAAACGATCATGAATTGGACAGACAGGTGGTACACATCCCGGTAGATCATTTCCATGGTATCTACACTTAACATGGTACGTACACTTGTCCATCAGGGGAAGGCGAAGAAGGCCACAAACAGCGCCAGTAGCAAAACCTATTCCACAAAGTCGATACATGCACTTGGAAGGGATGGGATATGAAATATTATATGCATAGAAGCGGTTGACAAATAGGCGCAGAGGTAAAAACGCCATTCACGGCGGTGTTTGATTTTGTCTATGCATATGTAAGCCAATGAAACACAGGACGGTGCTCTCCAAAAAACAAACCACTTGTCGATGGCAACGAATTGTGGAGGTGTCCTTTGAAAAGGATCTCTCCCAACATCTGCTGAGGACGATTGATTCCCTCTAGTCACATAGAAAAACAATGGACATAAAATGCATCCACAACAAACAGAACAGAAACCCACTTACCACAAAATGGAGGTATGCACATGTACATCAAGCAAGCGGAAGACACAGGAAACCCACCTGGCTACTTCTTCGACACCCTGGCCCGTTCCCAGCAGGGGCTGAAGGCTCCGCTCGGCTCGCCGGCACACGCACCGCGCCAGGTGCAAGTGTGACGCTGCCAGACCCCCCCCAGGGACGATGAAGGTCTTCAGAGGGGGGGTTCTCGCATCCAACTCGTCGATACACGCCTAGCAATACATTTAATACAAGTTGTAATGAGTAATAATACATGCACTACACACAGCGGTCATAGGAAACAACGGCAGTGGTGCTACGGAGGCCACAAGAGGGTGTGGGATAGGGGTGCCAAGTTGGAAATACGTTGTTGGGGGGGGGAGAGAGGAACGGTAGAAAGGCGTCATGCAGGCAGGTCGGAGGGTGGCGTGGTTCGTGCAGAGGGTTGCGGGGGTCATGTACGCAAGGAAGTAAGCACAAGATGTCGAACACCCCTACTTAGCAGGATGCAGCGCACCCTTCATGCGACTCGCCGAATACCTAACGGTGTTTCGCGCTTTTGGTGATGTGAGAGCCTGGTCCGGTGAGAACCAGGTGTGTTCCGTCACGGCTTTGTAGGAATGCGAGGTCAATGGTCTACCGACTGCGGCATGCACGACTATTGAGTACACATCCCCCGTTCATAATGGTGATCGAGTAGATTGTGTTGTGCGGGGTCGAGAACACTCACTCCGCCCAAGGGGGATGATCACAACACATTGTGTTAAATTGGTCAAGCACCCTCGAGGCAGTTACACAGTGCTAATAACTATCTCTGGAAGTGAAAGCACCATAAAAAAAATTCAGTCATTCGCAGCTGTCATCCGTATGCAAGGAAGTAAACACAAGATGCCAAACACCCTTAGCAGCAAGCAGCGCACCCTCCATGCGACTCGCCGAATACCTCAAGGCCCTTCGCGCTTCGTGATGTGAGAGTCTGGTCCGGTGAGAACCCCGAGTGCTCCGTCCCGGCTTTGAAGGGATGCGAGGTCAATGGTCAAACCACTACGGCATGCACGACTATGCGTACGCCCACACCCACCCCCTCCATGCCACATTCTGCCATCACCTCAAGCTGGTCAGTGCACCAGGTGGGGAAGCCAGTACGGCTGATCTTTCGAGCCGAGGAGTTATCCCTAGGTGTGGCCACCAAGGCCGACGCGTCGATGATGAGAGACTGGATGGCCACCAGCATCTCTGAGAGGCCGTTGCGGGCGAGCTCGGAGTGCGCCACCGCTAGCGCTAGGCTAGCGTTGAGCTCGTCCATGTTGCCGAGGGCCTCGAAGGACGGGTCGCTCTTCGGTCTCGTCTCCATGTTGTACAGCTGGACAGGACAAAACATCATGGGCGTGTGGTGAAACATGGGGGTGGTGGCGGGGGTTACCTTTACGTGGCAATTGGACAAAAATGGTGTGTGTGTGCAGAGAGAGAGGCAGAGGGTCGTCCCTCGATGTTGTACAGCTAGACGGGACGAACTATAAATATCTTGGGCGTGTGGTGAAATATGGTGGGGTTACGTTTACGTTGCAGCTGTATAAAATTGGGGGTGGCTGCAGAGAGAGAGGCAAGAGGGTCGTCGTCTCGATATTGTACAGCTGGAAAGGACAAAAACATCAAGGGGCGTGAGGTGAAATACGGCCAAACCAGCCAACAACAACACCATCACCACCAACACCACCACCAACACAATACAAGGAGCCCAAGCTCTCGGATATCAACGCGCACGTGACAACGACGCACTCGAACATACCTGAGAGGTCCCCTTGTCCCCCGATCTGGTGTACAGAAACGACTTTTTTCTTGGCACCGCCCTCCGAGCGATCTCCGCCATGTCCAGCATCGGACGCTCGTCGCCCCCCTCCCCCCCGCCGCCGCCACCGCCCCTGCCGTTCGCCCCGGTCAATGACCGCCGCTGGGCCTGGCTAGCCAACCGAAGCGCCATGTACCCTAACCCTACGCTACCGGCGACAAGGGCCGTTGCCAGGCTCACGTTCCCGCCGGAGTACCCAGCCTTCAAGGGGGGGGGGGCAGGTCGATCGAGGTAGGTCGGTTCAAGGCTTTGTCTGGCCGCCTCACGCGCCGGCGAACGGTAGCTAGCGCGCCGGAACCTTGGAGCACATGGCGTACGCGCACACGCCTCATGACTGTGGTGGCCATTTCTGCCCGCCGCCGCCGCTTTGCATCTGTCAAAACATGTGTAGGTCCTCCCGGCACAGGCTGAGAAGGCATTTGTGGGACTTGAAAGGTACCGTTGAAGACGTGAATGGTTGAGATTGCGCGGTTGCTGGGAGGAGGCACCCGCCCGCTCCCGCTCCCGCGTGCTCCGGCGCCCTTGTCCCCCTTAGTCGTCCTGGGCTCCTCACAGCCGGAGGAGCCCAGGAAGACTAAGGGCGCCAAGGGCGCTGGAGCACGCGGGAGCGGGGGCGGGCGGGTGCCTCCTCCCAGCAACCGCGCAATCTCAACCATTCACGTCTTCAACGGTGCCCTTCAAGGCCAACAACAGCCTTCTGTGCGGGAGGGTCTACGTTACGTATGTTCAAGCCGGTCGCTTCTTTGGCCGAACACGTCCGGTAGACGAGTGTGTTCGAGTGAATTCCGAAAGAGAGGATGTCCCAAGCGTGGGCGCGGTGACAGCAGCCCAATCGCTAAAACTAACAAGCCATTGGATTGGTCATGTTGCGCGAGTTGGTGCATACAAGTACTTGCTGCTGGGAAACACGGCCTGCCGTAGCATGTACTCGGCCGAAGTAAAGGTCAACTCTGCGTGTCTGTGAGAATCGCTAGACTATATAACGAACGCCGCGGCTCGGGAGGGGAACGAGAGGACGAGCATGGTTCAGCATTGTCCCCGACCTATAGCGGGAGCATGTATCCATGTGTACATCTGCTACCAAATCAACTGCCGATGTGGAGTTAGAGTTACTGTACCGTTATGGCTACGCCAGGGAAAAATCCCACGCCTTTCGTCCGATCAAGGATATGGTCTACACTGAACATGTGATCTGCCTTGCATTTTTGGCATTGGGCACAGGCGGAATGGGGTGCTCGATAAATGCTACGCGTAGAGACAGCAGGAAACATATGCTGCAGCCGGTACTCTGCTGCTGTACTACCGTCTACAGTTGTATACAGTTCAAAGGAGACAAGAGCAACGTTGTTATCTTACCAAACTACAGGAGTCCTACAGTAAGACAACCGCACTTTATGCACCACCGAATATGTAGCAGGGCCGCGGCTACCGCTGCGTCCTGCATGCAGCAAGAGCCCCGGTATTGTTGCGTGCAGCAAAAGCCGATGCAATTTCTGTGTCGCAATGTCGCAACTACTAACTGCGGTTGTCCCGTTCGCTCACCACCATGTTCGTCTTTGATGAAGCCTGCCTGCTGCTGCTGACGAAGACCCGGCGGCTGCGTCTACTGGTACGCGATGCCACTCTACGCGCTGCACGGTGCATTCCCAGTGACCCACCAGTCAGACCACACAAATGAAAATATGGCGCGTACCGCCCTCCAGCCGCCTGCTGTGCCTGGTGGTCTCCCCCTGTCGCCTGCTGCGTGGTGCAGTGTGCCTGCTGTGCTCCTTCTTCCTCTCGGCGTTTGTTTGCAACCGGTGGCACGGAGCCCCCATACCCCCCCCCCCCCGCATCCGAGGGTTTCAAATCTTGCGAAGGCTTTGGTGTAACTTTTTTCTCTGCTTCGATTCGACACGTCGACGGCAATCCTTTGCAATCTTCACGTCCATCCATCGGTTCCCACATGCTGCGCTCCTTACAGCAGAAGCCGGGCCACGTGAGCCGTATCCGGCCAAAGCCGGAGTTCTCCAAGGATCGGCGTGCTGGTCGAGCCTGCTACAGTGCCACGAGGCGTCTATCATCATGTTCAAGAGGGGTGCCTCGAAGAAGGGAGATGGACCGGAGAGGACCGACAGCAGTATCCGCGGCAGCAACCGCCGCAGCAGCACCAACAACAGCAGCAACCGCCGTAGCAGCACCGACAGCAGCAGCAGCAGCCGCCGCAGCGGTGCTTCGCCCTCGGAGCGTGGTGACCCGAGCTCCCACCTGAGAGCCATGCAGGCCACAGCACGTCGTAGGCGAGTTCATTGACAATAGGCAGCATTGCCGGGCTCCATCCCGATGTGTTTCGTACGAATCACGCGATCTTCTCGTTTTGACGACAGCAGGGCAGTCACCCTTGGCATGTACACCCGATCAAATCTACATGTAGTCAAAGATCCCAAGCAGTAAAGCCCAATACATACAACATGAAAGGATTCCATACAATTCGCATGTCCGCGGGTCATGTACAGCAATAGTACTACGAAGTACTACTGCTGTGTGCTGCAGTCCATACGTACGTGCTGTCATTACTGCTTTAGCTACAGGACTCCGGAGTTACTGCATGTAAAAATTGTACAAAAGAGAAAGACTCAACAAACGAGCGCTGGATTCATTCACAAGATACACACGTGACGTATGCATATCAACGACATCCTGCGTCGTCTGCGGATCCAAGTTTGTTGTACATGACTGCCACCATCGTACGTTTCACTGTCAACCCTTCGCTAGACCATAAAGAAGGCTGCTGTGTATAGGTTCCTGGACCAAGTATATACACATACATGCGTGTAAGGAACCTGTACATGGTCTTTTTCTAGTCTATGGAATGACAGTGAAACGCACGACGATGGCAGTGACGTAAAACAAACAAACTTGGATCCGTAGACGAAACATGATGTCGTTGTACATCACGCTGACTACACTGTAGTATCTTGTGAATCCATTCAGGTACGAACGATGGTGAGACAGAGATACTAAGGAATAGCTATTATGTGGAGCACTCCTGCTCGTACAACATTTAGTTGTGACAACCAGCAAGCAGATCGACCGCACTTCTACAAAGTGTACAATGTTTTTTGTGCGTGGGTTTTCGTCCTTTTTATATTGTATGGCGAGAGTCCCCCCATTTTTCGTAGTGAGACGTGTACTACTGTACACTTTCAGTGTGTGTAGAGTACTACGCTTTCCAGGCTATTATTTCGTACAACTACAACCATCCAGGTCACACAGGAGGGGGTAAACACCAGGGCTTTTTTATTCTACGGTACGTGCTGAAAGTAGAATTATTCTGGAATTTCGGAAATTTGGGGGGGTGCGATGCTACAAGTTCCGTGCTGTCTACACTCAGGCCACTTGGTTCACAGAAGTAGTAGTCTAGATCACGGACAGCCAGCAAGTGGTTCCTTTGCCGGGGGCGATTTCATAACCAAGCATCATGAGAGAGAAAGAACATTTATTTCAAGAACAAACTGGTACCGGACAGTGCTAATTCGACAATCTGAGGAGTGTTACTACGAGCGGGCCGACACTGTAAAGTCCATGGTCACTTAGATCTTCAAGATCGTTGGATGATGCAAGATAGTCGTTTATCCCAAGCATATGCTGGCCATGATGCACGCTGCTGCGTATGGAGTGCTACTTGCAAGTCGTGAAGACAATGAAATTCGCCCGAAAAACGCCGACAAGATAAAGTTACCGAGCTTTGAGAGGCAGGGTGGGACGTAGATGGAATCCTATTCGCGTGACCCCCGGAAGCATGTACCCACAGGTGTACACCCAAGCGTCTAGTGACAGGATGCTCAAACTAGAGGTCAACAAACAAAAGGTTGAGCTCGATGGCGGGGTGCAAGGTGAAACCGTGGTAGCTCGTCGTTCTGGAGAACTTCCTGCCAAAGCAGTCATGGTATGTAGGCTACCACAGCAGTTTCATATTGCGTCCCTAGCACGAAAAATTAAAAACACCCAAAACAACACACACCACTACATAAATTGCAAATTAGAATTTTCTTGAGAAGGAAGACATTCGGGAAAACAAATTAGAATACGTACGTGTACGATAAAGAAGAGGTTCGGAAGGGGGAAGTTGTGATGCGACCAAACCTCGTCGAACTAATAGTAACCAGGTCGTCCCGGTGCTATTCTGGCGTGATTACAAATTCTGCTCTTCATGTTGGATGCTCTCGAATGCGCGACATGGTCGCAACAGAGCCGACCACGCAATGCAGGCCTACAGAGGGGCTCTGGGTGAGCTGCGCGAAGACATGCAGGCGTCTCCATTCGCCGCGTGGACTCTCGAGCAGTTACAGGTGCGGAGATCTCCCTCCCAATATTTCTCACAAACTTCAAATATGCGAAATATTGACAGCGTGCAGAACGCAGAACGTTGTGGAGTACTCTCTGATGGAAGTCGTATTTTGTCTTCACAAAGCATCTTGGATGGATTCCCATGCGGGGTAGGGAATATACTGGGTCATATCATTTCAGCTGTGGACTTGTCGTACTCCACAAAGCGATCCAAAGTGCTTCCCACGGGATGATCATCCCGACGAGTTCCTGCCGTTACGAGTTCCAGGGATGATCTGCGTCTGACTGCTTGGCGGTAAAAGAAACGAAACTTGGACGGTCGTTTTCATTCTTATCGGCAACACCGTTTCGCCATGATTGTGAGATTTGTGTGTCCTCATGTAAGTGGGCATTTAATTATACTACCCGCCCTAGAAGGTACGCCTTTCGTCGACTGTAACCTACGAGGTGAAGCACGTGTGGTGTTGTTGTTGTTTCTGGCACCGAAGGCACTGCGAGCTCGCTCGCACAACAGCCTCTTCCCCACCAAAGCTTGCATACATTGGCATGACTCGATCGATTTTTGTTGTCGATGTTGCTGACACACCAACTCCTTCAACACGACCTCATCGTCAGGAGTTTCTTGTTGATAACAACGTGGAGGTCCGCGGGTCATCTTTGCTAAACCGGCCCGCTTTTGTCGGGATACTGGAGAGGATGTTCAAGGGATGTACCGAGGCCCCCACACCGCCACCGCTGCTAACGGAGGACTTCAAGAGAAGGAGAGAGGCGGCGGCACTGGTACGTGCATGCTTGCTGCCGAGGGCGCCGGAAGATAGATCTTGAGTCTATGGCATCTTTTGTCCTGCCTGCCATTGCCCTTGTATCTGTAGCTCAGTTTTAGTGCTTCCGTATTTAGCCGCGGCTCGAAGTGTTGGACACAACTGTGCTCAAGCATTCCCTGTTTGGTACTCCTGTAGATAGCTCTGAAAGCAACTCGCAAAACCGCACATGTCCCCTGCGTTGCTGATTCTGCACGATGTATCGGAGGCGCAACACTCCGACACAATCCTGCGAGCCGCGCTTTCGTAGACACACACCTTCGCAAGGCCCTCTGTTGCGGTAGGCAGCCACAACGCTGAAAGCGAAGGTATCGTCCGGGGGAGATACGAGAACTCCATTCGCACTCTGTTCCACCCGGAAATGACCGATGACATCAACAGATCGCTTGACAACTACTTGCTCTTGGTGGCGACACTTGTTGCCTCGCGTGCCTTTTCCCAATGATGGCATGCACGTGTAACAGATATTGCAGGAGGCGTGGTTCGTGAAGAAGAGTACCCAATGGACGCAGGAGATGGTGAGCCATTCAAATTGAAACACGTGGTTGGTGGTTTGTGAGGATAAGCACCCAATGGGCGAAGTCACAAACGGTGAATACAGATCGCGCTCTGGTTAACAGGGTTGTCGGTCTATCTACAACCTCCTCTCCGCGAGATCTGTCCAGAGCATAATGCTGTGATCTCCACTGCCGCATCTGGTGTTCTCCTTCTCCCAATCTTGAAGTAGCCCCCCCCCCCCCCCCCCCCCTAGACCATACCTCGATATGAGGCGAGATTGGCTCAATGACTACACGCATGACGGAGTGTATTTAAAACACCGGGGGGGGGGGG